TTGATTTTACCAATTTTTATTTTATTAATTTGATTTTTTTTCTGTGCCAGTGCTGGGGCTTGAACTCAGGATCTGGATTTATTCTTGCCCAAGGCTAGCCCTCTGCCACTTGTGCTATAGCTCCACTTCTTGCTTTCTAGTGGTTAATTGGAGATAATTAATTGGAGAGTCTCATAAACTTTTCTGCCAGGAGAGTTGGAATCCTCACATCTCAGATTCCAGAGTAGCTAGCATTACAGATGTGAGCCCCCAGCACTCAAGCTCCTTCTCCTCCTCCTTCCTCTTTCTTCCTCCTCCTCCTCTTCTTCCTCTCCTCCTCCTCTTCCTTCTTCTTCCTCCTCTTCCTCCCTCCTCTCCTTTCCTTCTTCTCCTTCTCCTTCTTCTTCTTCATCTTCTTCTTTCTGGGACTTGTACTTAGGGTTTGGGTGCTGTCCCTGAGCTTCTTTGCTTAAGGCTAAGATTCTACCAAGAGAGCCACATAATCACTTTCTGGCTTTTCTGAGAAGTTTATTCAAGATAAGAGTCACAGACTACTGTCTGGGCTGGCTTCAGACTGAGATTCTCAGATCTCAGCCTTCTAGCTAGGATTACAGGCAAAGGCCACAGGCACTCAGCTAAACTCTGTTTTTTTTTTTTTTGGGGTCCGGTCATGGGGCCTGAACTCTGGACCTGGGCACTGTCCCTCAGCTCTTCAGCTCAAGGCTAGTGCTCTACCACTTGAGCCACAGCGCCACTTCCGGTTTTTTTTCTTTTTGCTTATGTGGTGCTGAGGAATCGAACCCAGGGCCTCAGGCATGCAAGGCAAGCGCTCTACCACTGAGCCACCTTCCTAGCCCCTCTAAACTCTGTTTTTAAACTAGCTGATCTTAGCAAAAATTCCTTGCCTCCTCTCTGATAAGGCAATAGCTTCTTGAAAATACTTTGAACAGTCTGTATTCACAGAAGGAAATTATTTAACTTGATGCTAATGCCACAGCCCAGATAAATTCAGACACTAAATAGAAATTTTCACTGGGTAGCTCTCCTTTGGTATGTTACATAACTACTCTTTTTTTCTTATACTTTTGTGTACTACTCCCTACCTCTTTCTGGGGTTTGAATTCAGAGCTTTGTATTTTTTTATTTTCAGTGTTTGTTTTTTTTTTTTTTTTTGGTCTTGTACTCAGGGCATGGGTGCTCTCCTTGAGCTTTTGCACACAAGGCTAGTATTCTGCCAGTTTGAGCCACAGCACCATTTCCAACTTTGTATTTATTTGCTATTACGTGAGTCATGCTTCCAGTCCTATTTATTGTTATTATTATTATCCTATTTTTGAATGTGCCAGACCTAAGGCTTGAACTCAGGGGCTAGGCACTGTTTCTGAGCCTCTTTGGCTCAAGACTAGTGCTCTACCACTTGAGCTACATCTACATTACTGGCTTTCTGGTGGTTAAATGGAGTCTCACAGACTTTCCTGCTTGGGTGGGCTCTGAACCTACCTGTATAGCTAGGATGACAGGCATGAGCCACTGGTGCCCAACATTTTGCTGGTTATTTTAGAACTTTTCTGCCCTCACTGGCCTTGAATTGTCAGTCCTTCAGATTTCAGCCTCCCAAGCTGCTAGGATCACATGCATGATCTGCTAGTAATAGGCTTACTTTTCTTCTGTGTTAGTACTGGGGTTGAACTCCGGGCCGGGGTACTGTCCCTAAGCTTTATTTGCTCAAGGCTGGTGCTCTACCATTGGAGCCACAGTTTCTTCTTGGGTTTTTTGGTGGTAAATTGGAGATTATCTTTCCTGTCCAGACTGGACAGATCTCAGCCTCCTGAGTAGCTAGGATTATAGGTGTGAACTACTGGCACTCAGCTCCCATAAAACATGATCTGATCTTTCATCTTCCAGGTGTGAACTACTGGCACCCATAAAACTTTAAAAACATGATCATGAGAAAATCTAGTATTTCAGTTTAAAATATGTAACTTCATTTCTGATCATATTCAGATATGCCCAACATTTTCTGGATTTGATCCAATGTATGTGTTCAATCAGGCAGGTTATAATCTTTACTCAGCGTCTACTTTTTGAAAATGGAATAGGTTTGGGAGATTAATGGCTAGATTTTTGGAAAGCACTAGTTACTTTGTCTTTTTCTCTGATTGGAGCTTCCAACAACTCAACAGAGAAATAAAGGAAGTAGTGTGACATTGGGGAAGATGGATGAAGGAAGGAGTTCTAGCCCTCACTTGGCAAAATCCCCAAACTTCCTTGAGCTTCATTTTTTTTTATCATACGATGGGAAGCCTAAGAAACTATTAAAAGACTCTTCCAAAACTTTTTCTGATGACTAGAAAAGCTCATGTGCATATCAGGCACCTAGATTCAGGAGGCTCAGATCTAAGGATTGTGATTTGAAGCTAGCCAGGAAAAGAAAAACTAGCAAAAAGTCACAAATGGAGCCGTGGTTCTAGTGATAAAGCATCATATTTGAGCAAAAACAAAACAAAACAAAAACTAAGGGACAGCACTCAAGCACTGAATTCAAGCTCCAGTAGCAGCACCAAAAAAAAAAAAAAAAAACCCACAAAAACTCAGTTACTCACTCTGAGTGAGGTGGAGTCTCACAGACTTTCCTGCTTGGGTGACAGGCTAGGATGACAGGCATGAGCCACTGGTGCCCAACATTTTGGTTTTTTCTTTTTGGGTCCGGTCATGGGGCCTGAACTCTGGGCCTGGATGCTGTCCCTCAGCTCTTCAGCTCAAGGCTAGCACTCTACCACTTGAGCCACAGCGCCACTTCCAGCTTTTTTCTTTTTGCTTATGTGGTGCTGGGGAATTGAACCCAGGGCCTCAGGCATGCAAGGCAAGTGCTCTACCACTGAGCCACCTTCCCAGCCCCATTTTGAGTTTTGACAAGTGTATCTAGATAAAAAGCAACAACAACAAAACAACCAAGATGTTTTCCTTTGTGATGTAGAGGAAGTTTGGAAGGGGGACTAGGAATCTAGCTTAGGTGTAGAGTGCCTGACTAGCATGTCTGAAGCCCTGGGTTCGATTCCTCAGTACCACATAAACAGAAAAAGTGAGAAGTGGCACCTGTTGGTCAGGTGGTAGAGTGCTAGCCTTGAGCAAAAGCAGCTCGGTGACAGTGCCCAGGCCCTTCGAGCCCCAGGACTGGCAAGACAAAACAAAACAAAACCAACAAAAACAAAAACGGGCGCTTCTCAGGAGGCTGAGATCTGACTATCACAGTCTGAAGCTAGGGCAGTTAAGTCCATGAGACTCTTAGCTCCAATAAATCACAGAAAAAGCTGGAAATGGTGCTGTGGCTTAAGTGGTAGAGCACTTGCCTGGAGCAAAAAGGTGCTTAGTTAGGGACAGCACTAGAGGTTCTAGCCCCAAGACCAGCAAAATAAATAAATAAAATAAAAATAAGTTAAAAAAAGCAACTTTAACTGTCTTCTGAGGCTAGGAGTAAGGCGTAACTATTGCTTAACAAGCACAAAACCAGACGTTCAAAAAGAGAGAACAAAAAAGTTAAAAAAAAAAAAGGTATGGAAGCCTGGGCAGCCCGGGAAGAGTTAAGGTATTGTCAACACAGGCACGGGCTTTTAACCAAGTTCTATCCAAGTGCCTAGAAAGCTGGTGTTGTGCTTACTGCCCACAGATCACCAGAGAGCTGCAGATTCTAGACTTGTGAGTTAACCAGCACCGCGTCGCTGCGAAGACTTGCCCGACGCAAGGGATGGAAGGGATGTGAGTTCAGGAAACTCCTCTCCCCACCCGCCCAAAGTCGCTCAGGAAATCAGGTACAGAGGAGCTAAGGCTGACGCAAATCCCCTGGGGCGGCCCAACTCGAGGCTCAAGTTATTTTCTAGCCGCGACCACGACTGTCCACCAAGACTTACAAAAGCGCTCGCAAGGAAGGCGCTCTAAGCACCGCCGCACCTCCACGGAACCTACAGCCCAAGCAGTAGAACCCCGCGCCTCGTAGGAACCTCCTGGTCAGCCCCGCAGCGCTGATGGAAGTCACCTCCGACCAATGAGCGACCTGGAGGCGGGGCCTGACGTGTGGAGGGCGGGATTTCCCTCGCGGCCTCACCGCGGCTGGCAGCCTGGCGCGGGCGGAGGCTGCGCCTGAGAGGGTGGGCTGGGGTGAGCTGCTGCGGGCGGGCCGGCGCTCTGATCTGTGGGCGTCTGCCGCGTCTCTCGCCGCCGCCGCCTTCCCTTCGTCACCATGCCGGGGATCGACAAGCTGCCCATCGAAGAG